GGGGGGGGGGGGAGGAGTTGGGGGGGGATCAGACTGCAATGAGGTTGCTTTGCACTGTGTGCTCTTTTGCCAGGGAAGAACCAGGGCAGTTTGGTAAAGAAAATCAGCTCTGCCGCTTTTGATAGTAATAAGAGATGGGACCTGGATGCAAAATGCAGATCCAGATCAATGAGTCCTAAACTGCAGGGCTACGTCTAGACTGGCATGATTTTCCGCAAATGCTTTTAACAGAAAAGTTTTTCCGTTAAAAGCATTTGTGGAAAAGAGCGTCTAAAAAAGCACTTTTTGCGTAAAAGCGTCCATGCCAATCTAGACGCGGTTTTGTGAAAGAAAGCCCAGATCGCCATTTTCGCCATCGGGGCTTTTTTGCACAAAACAGTTTTTAGCTGTCTACACTGGCCCTCTTGCGCAAATACATTTGCTCAAGAGGACTTTTTCCCGAATGGGAGTGCTGCGTCTAGATGGCAAGTTTTTCTGCAAAAGCAGCTGCTTTTGCGGAAAAACTTGCCAGCTGTCTACACTGGCCGCTTGAATTTCTGTAAGAACACTGACGATCTCATGTTCTTGCGGAAATGCTATGCTGCTCCTGTTTGGGCAAAAGCCTTCTTGTGCAAATGCTTTTGTGCAAGAGGGCCAGTGTAGACAACGCAGTATTGTTTTGCGCAAAAAAGCCCTGATCGCGAAAATGGCGAGCGGGGCTTTCTTGCGCAAAACCGCATCTAGATTGGCACGGACGCTTTTCCGCAAAAAGTGCTTTTGTGCAAAAGCATCCGTGCCAATCTAGATGCTCTTTTCCACAAATGCTTTTAACGGAAAAACTTTTCCGTTAAAAGCATTTGCGGAAAATCATGCCAGTCTAGACGTAACCAAGCAGCATAGTATTTGCGGAAGAACACTGACAATCTTACATTAGATCGTCAGTGTTCTTGCGCAAATTTAAGCGGCCAGTGTAGACAGCTGGCAAGTTTTTCCGCAAAAGCGAGACGCAGCCCAGGTGTTTGAACAGGGGTTCTGGTGTTGGGCCCATCTCTATCAGCGATGCTGACTTTGAGCTAGGCTTTGCTGTAAAGTTAATGTGAATGATCCTCTAGAGTTTTATTGCCCTTAGCTTGAGTTCCAACCACAAACATGTATAACCTTTGACGTGAGTGTGGAGGTGCAGAAAGAGCACCGTTGCCTCCTGGACACTGCTGTGCCTACCTCAGTTTCCCCTTCAGTCAAGAAACAATGAAATCTCTTGAGCAGTCTAGCCAAAGAGAAACCCAGCAGTGTCCCTCCCTTTACTAAAGCCATCTGAAAGCAGTACCTATACAGGCAGTCCCCGACTTACGCGGATCCGACTTATGTCGGATCCGCACTTACGAACGGGGCTTTCTCGTCCCGGAGGTCGAGGTAGCGGATTGCTACCTGCGAGCTCCGGGGGAGAAAGCCCCGTTCGTAAGCTGCTCGGGCGGCCCTGGTC